TAAAGTAATATAAGTTGGATGTAATAGCACGTCGTCCAAGACGGACTTCCTTAATTTGGCTGTTGTCTAGCGGGATCCCCCAGGACGCGGTCCGGATCCCCCGACTTTCTTTTCTCACCCTCCTTCCTGCGCTATGAATTATCTGGGAGTTGTTCTTTTCGGTGTATTATCCAATCATTTTTTTATTAGTGATGCTACGCAGTTGGCATTAAGTAGTAGAAGGTTCGCGTGGCGCGCAGAGTAAACACAACTTTCTCCGTAAGTAAATGTTGCTGCTGTTCTGTTCTTTCAAACAGCCAGAGTTTGAACTCTTTCAGAACACGCTGCTCAGGACTCGAGACGAAATTTTGAACCTTGAGCAAGCCACAAACCAATTATGAGTGACGGAAGTTGTGCTTCGGAAGTGCACGCGGAACATCCAAGGCTCATCTTACCGATGCCCAAGACAAATAATTCTGTTAAAGCGCCGAGTGGGCTCGATGTCGATTGTACTGTACAAATAATTAAATACTCCTAATATCTCCATGAATTTGTGATATTTTCTGGTTTGGTTATGAGTTATGGCCTTTCTTAAATTTAGCTGTGCTTAGTTGGAATGTTTTCAGTACTAGTATTCTCGAATTGTACATAAACTAATAATACGCGGGGAGATTGTGGCTAGCAAGGGCACATTACCGTAGATAATGGCCACCAAACCTGGCGCTGTGGGGTAATGGTTAACCTTAGGCTTCGACATAATCTCATCAGCGTATGCATATTTAGCCTATCTGCGAGTTCGAATCTCGCCCGCGTCATATTGATGAAATATATCTTCACTTAATTTTTATTTTTACGCATCACATGAAAGCCACATGAGCATGACTACATGTAAACCTTCATCTTGAGTCCATAATAATTTACCGGTGATACACATGTTTTGGCTGGACACCATTAATTCAATTAGTAGTGGAATGGACTTGGACTTGAAGCGTTGGGGTTGTGAAACTGATGCAAGTGCGTGGCTCGTAGATAATACATCGGAACTGTCAGTGAGTCTCACTTTTCCTTCCTGAGCAATTTTCATTGACTTGCTCTGTAGGCCTCTTCTTTTGAGTCTGACCTTTCCATCACGACTTTTGCAAGCAAGCCTTCTATCAAGCACCCTCCTCCACGTAGTTCTGAGATATGCTGGCAATGGCTTAGAGGTGCATGCGAGCAAGGGTATAACTGCTACTACATCCACAGGGACTTGGAATATGACCAGTCTCTCACTGTGAGTGTTAACTCTTCTTCTAATTATTGCTTATTCCCAACAGCAGCTATCTTTAGGACCTTCGACCTGCTGGCCCGCTGGCTTACTATGCAACAACCATTCACGACCATATTCGTATCAAGCTTGGTGCCAGCTTTAGTGTTCAGGAGATTGTGACTGGGTAAGTTGAAACCCCATGGTTATATCTCAACAATATTGCGCCTGGTAGCAATTACTATTTGGCGCAAACTCGAAACAAATGCCATCACGGTAAACAGTTTCAATGTTTTACCGCTGCCCTACCGTGATGGCCAAGTCCGTGCATGGGCTCATTTCTCCTCTCCCAGTGCTGCAAAAGCTGCATGCCAGCTTCTCCATCCCTGAAAACCCATGTGTACTGGAAGAACACATATCTTCGCTCACCACATGCACACCCTATCTTATTCAATGCCTCTGGAACAATACAGAAAAGTTGGAGATGAAGTCTCGATTTTCCGCCAGAGACTATGGAGCACAGACCGTGGCTCCTTACAAAGC